CTGCTGCTACTGCTACTGCTACGACGGCGACGCCGACGACTATCACTGCCACCACTACCAATACCCCTAGCCACTACCACGACCACGACAACTTCAGTACCACTACCAGCTGAATACCACTATCACTATCGCTACCAGTACCACGACCATCCACCACCACTACTACTACGACGACGACGACGCCCGAAGCTTGTTGTTCGCCTGCGCCACCTGTGTCACAGCGACCTCTTGCACAAGCTTAACCTTTAAGCTCATCGCAGTGCGGGTTCGGACTCCCTGACAAGAGATGTTGGGTGCGAAGCCCAGAACGATACAAGCAGTCGTTGCACCCGAAAAGCTGGTGTTGGTTGCCAAACTCCCAAACCCTAAACGTAGCACCCTACAAGGAGATGTTGGTCGCGAAATCCCGGACCGTCAAGGGAGATGTTGGCCGAGAAATCGTACACCGAAAAGCAAGCGTTGGTTGCGGTATTGTACTGACGGCAGTTGATGCCTGACTGTTGTACTGCATGAGTGTTGACTCTGGCCCACCCGGGCCTAAAGTACATTTCTGGCCGAGGTCATCACACCATGCTTTCGGCCAGAAGCGCGTAGAACCTTGGCAGACGAAGCCGTGCAGACACGTGCTCGGAGCGCGGAGTTCCTACAGCGCAACATTTGCTCGTGGCGCAGCCAAGACACTCAAACCAGCATTGGGGATGTAGAACGAATAACTTGGATCATGGTGCTGGCATTGGCTAGAATCTACTAGATGCGGTGGATCAAACGTAAATGGCAACATGACGTGTGACATCCAAGAACCGAGGAGCCTTTGTCCTGGGAGGATCCTTACATATGCATCGCAAGCCACACAGGGAATGCAAGCGAGGTCATGCTTCAGCATACTTCTGCTCAAGGAACGCTGCCGGTACGGTCAAGCGGCTTGACGTTGCGAGTTGCCGGAGGCGGAACATTTCCCGACGAAGCGATCCAAATCGGCAATGTAGAGCAGTTGTTCCACACCTCAAGCAGCGCAACTTCATGTCTGCTGCGCAGACCTTCACAGCAGCACATAAAGCAGGCATTGCATTCAAGCCAAGCATCAACCAGCCGGGGTTGCGCAACCTCAAAGCCAACCGTTTCAGGCTGCTTGACACAAACAGTCGTCTCGGACTGAGGAAAGCACCGCCGCTGACAGAGCAGGCTGCTCTGGAGCGATTTGGGCCGGCTGCACTGGTGGCAACGGCGGGAGCGGCTGCAAGCTCAGAGGAGCTGGTGTGACTAACGGGAGGACCGCGAGCGGGATTGGCGTCACAGGAGGTGGCAAAGACGGCACGGACTCCGGAGGCTCAATCTCCTTCAGGTTCTTGCAGCCCTGCAGCCCAACGCCTGTTGCAGTCAGTGCTCTCGCACAGCTTTATCCTCCAAGACTTGTGTTTGGCTCTTGCAAACTCGGCCGCTTCGTCTGCGTTTAAACTTCGAACTTCATGGGCACCAAAGAGAATGGCACATAAACACGCTTCCCACGGCTCCATGCTCTGCTGCGCTATGCTATGCTGTGCTGGGCTACGCTGTGCCATGCTGTGTATGATGTGCTCTGCTATGCTTTGCCATGCCATGCCATGCCATGCTATTCTATGCTATGCTGTGCTGCTCTGCATGCAGTTTCCCTTCAAATCTCTTCCATGAAGCTGTAGAACCTTGTAAGATCCGCGTCTTTACCGAATATCAATACGACTCTTCGATGGGGACAGCCGATCCCGGAAGACCCGGCTGCACCTACCAAGATAAGCATGGCCAGCAGCCCCGCGCGATAGCAGGCCATCCTACCTTGGCACAGGAAGGCTGCATGCGACACATGTCACACATTGCCACATGCCACACATTTCAAGCTTCGACACGCAGACACCCACTCACCTGACCCGCCCAACCCTGTGCGCTGCAGCGCAGACTGAAAGAGACAGCAAAAGGCAGAGAGAAAGAGAGAGCAGTGAGCTGAGACGAGCAAGCAGAGGGAGCACCAGTCCGAGCTCCCAACCGAAGTGGTGCTCGTTGTGTGAATCATTCCGCATGGCACCGAAGGAACAGGTCTACACTACATCCCGATCGGCTGCAAGCCTGTCCACAATGAATTGCAACTTCAACACACTCAAATCGCCGATGAACGGCTGCAGAACGGCTTCGGCCATTGTTTTACCTGCTCCTGGTTCAAGAATGCTTCGCTTCATGGTCTAAGTGCCGTTCCGTCCGGGGCATGCAAATTGGGAGGAGGCCTCTACTACGAGTACCATCGGTCATTTCCGGCGGCAGGGCTTCACATCTTTCTATGCGCCAGCAGGATTGTCCTGATGACTGGTAAGTGTCGTCCCTCTCCTGGACATTGGTTCCTGATTTGATCCTGAGGCTGAGCCAGGCCACACATTGCCCGACACTCCTGCCGTTTTCGGCTCGCTGAGACGGCGCCAGCTGTCGGCAATATGGAACTTGCCATCCCTGAACGCGTCTCCGTCTGCATCATCGTCCGCGGCGACGCTGAATCAGTTTGGTGCGTGGATGTGGTACCGATCATTGGTAAGGCCAAGCAGGCTTTTGACATCCAAGCACGGTGTTGCCAGGTGCACACATGATCTGGTAGGCTCGCTGGGCGCGCTCCATGGACAGCGCATCAAATCGCACAAGCGTTGGATCATGAAACTCTCCTACAATCGTGCGGGTGAGTCGAAGTGGTCCCTCGGCTGTCTGCGATGTTATGAAGGAAAACTCGCAACCTTCGCAGTCAAGCTTCATCAGCGCCAAATCGCGAATACCGAACTCTTGGAAAATACTCTGTAACGACATGCAGGGCACGTTTGATCGCACCACCCTCCTGACAACTCCTCCCTGTACGGGTGGAAACAGCTCGTAGGTTGCATTGCCAGATTCGCAGGCTCCCACATTCACAGGCCACACTTGGTCAGTCACCTGAGGTGCGAAGGCTTAAAGCTACATGTCGCTAAAGCTCTATTGACAGGAGAACCATAGAGAATCCCAACACGAAGGCTATACCAGGTGCCACCCTCAACCGAGCGGCATTGTTGTGGTGCAAGTTCCACAGCATAAAACGGAAATTCGTTGGATCGAGCTCGATGGCAATGATGCGAATGCCAGGGTATAACTTGGCAAGCCAAATGGAAACCACACCCACATTGGCGCCAACATCCAAAACCACGTCACCACTGTGCAGTAGAAGTGTACTGAATCCATATGCGTCCTTCTGCAGTTCTTTCAGCTGGCTCTCCATGCCAAACCTGCCATGCGTCAAAGCAGGTACCCAGGCTGCACTCGAAGACCAATCGGTGGACTAGCGAACAACAGAAAAGGAAGGCTAATGAAAACCAGGCACCGCGAGATCTTGAAATCTCTGAATACAAGGGACATTGCACCCAACTTGAACTCCAAGACTTGAGAGCTTGCATGTATCCAAGACTCCCACGATACTTGCTGTGCAGAAAATGCTGGATGATCACCTCAGGCATGGACGGCATGGGATGGATGATTGCACTCCGTGCCCGGTGCTAACACAACCTGGCTGAGCGGCCTTGGGCTTTCAAAGGCTCCCGCGGACTGTCCGCAAAAAGCATCGCATAACCTCCAGCTGGAACGGAGAATATACAAGCCATAACGCATGACAACGATGTGACACGATGCGCTTGCAACATATACAATCTGCACCTGTACATCGTTGTGCCATGAATGCCCGGCCTTGCCCGCAACACTCGTGCTGGCTGTGCACGCCCGGGAAGCAACGCGAAGAATCAGAGTGCTCCCGCATGCAACATTCTTCTCGGGTAGTGGGTGGCCTCGTGCGGCACGCAGACACACAAATGTGACAAACGTGCTCCGAATGCAGGTAGCCGATTCTTTCCACCATTTGCGGTCATTCTTCCTAATGCCAATGCCAATGTTGCGCAAACTCCTGTTGGATGAACGCAGACGGAACACAAACCCATGCCGAAGCAGGGTGCCCATTTGGCCACGGAATATACACCATCGACCTTCGACGATTTGAGCACTGCCGCGAAACGTCAACTTTCTACATCCGTGCTGCGAACCTTGCCTGAAAATGAATGAAATCGCTGGTCTGGCCACCAGCGATACGTAAAGCAGTCATTGCCACGTGCCATGCTTGCCATGGGGCAGACATTCCGAGATGGGAAATGCAATGTGTGACCGATCATCGTGCCGGAAATTTGCCGCGCAACTTTGTCATGTACTGTGCCTGCAGGGAACAACACAGGCGACGTCTGACCCACACAAACATACAAAAACATGGTTGCTTCTAGTCCATCTTGAAGCTGCATCCGGCCGCGGCAACTCAAGTTGGCAAAACAATCTGTCGCTGAAATTTCGCCAGCACAAATACTACAGGTGTCTATAGGTGGTAACATTCTGAGCTTAGCCGCCTTAGCCTTCGTTTTTTTCTCCCACACACCTTTCTCATCGCCAGTATCTGCTGCACGGCTACACGACCGAGCTTCTAGCTCGTACGACTACGACTACCTTTCCTACGAGAGCCAAGTCGCTCACAGCTACGGTCGCAGCGGCATGCGACGGGTCCTGCGAGCTCGAACACTTGCTCAAGGGGCGGCACGTCCCGTTGACAGGGATGGAGCGGCGCTGGCCAGGCCTGCCCCAGTGCTGCTCGCGACGGCCTTTTGCACGGCACACCCAGCACGCCCCACCAACGGCGCGCTCTGTGCGACCGGACTTGGAGCAGGCCTCGCTGCCAAGCAGCGATCAGCTGCGCCGGGCAGACGAGACCGAATGAAGCGCGTCCATCCGTGCTGCCCTGTACGCTGCTAGGGCCGTGCGCTCCGCTGACTGTAAGCCGAGCCCGCCGTAAACGGCTGGCAGCGACGCGATTGGCCAGGCTTGCTGTGCCTCGGCCGGAGGCACTCTGCCCAGATACTCTTGGAGTGTGAATGGCCTGGTCATGCGCACACGGTTAAGACGGTCAGACGCCGGCTGAGAAGGGGTCAATGCTCGCAAGGGTGAAGCGCAGAACAGCAGTAACAACCAGGCGCACTCGAGGTCCGGGAGCGACTCGGCCAGCAGGCGGCGTGCTTCTTGGAATCGCGCGTCGGCCCAGGCTTGGACGAAGTCGGCGTGCCCGACCGGCGTGCACAGCACGATCTGCTGGGCGGATGGCTTGTCGCCCCGCCAGTCATCCTCGCCATCCCAGGCGGCCTTCGTCCTCGTTGTCATCCTCTTCCCCCAATGATGCAACCGAAAACGGTGTATGTAATTTTCCGGACTGGTCGCCTGCTGGACTCATACTTCAGAGCTCAAGCGCGTTGACACCCAATGCGGGACACCTGTGTTGTGGCAACCTTGCATCTGCAGCTTGCCTGAAAGGTTAATGAGCGCTCGGTGGCTACAGCACACTCCACCAGCGGCGCACCCAGCCCTGTCGGCACGTGCCGAACCCTAAACCCGGGTCGGCGCCCAGTAAGCCGCAGCGTCGTGCTCGCGCGCAAAGGCATCCGTCGTGCCAAGCGGGGCGCAGAAAAGCAGGAGGAGCCACGTGCACTGGCGAGTTGGTCCTGGGTCTCGCGTTTTCGGCGCAGCTCCAGTTGCACGAAAGCCTCGCTTCCGAGTGGCGCGCCCAGCACCAGTAGCCCTTGCTGGGCCGCCGGCAAGGACCAGGCGCCCGTCCAGACTGGATCTGCACCGCGTGGATGAATACGGGCGGGGCCGGCAGGCTCCTCACCGGCGGCATTCCATACACGAGTTTTGCCTTGGTTCAAGCGTGTACGGGCGTCGCGCCACAGCGCCTCCTCCAGGGCGCCGTGCAGCGCATCCGGGCGCTGATACGACATAAGCGTCGTCCAAGAAAGCGAAAATGGCCTCGCCTTCTTGTGGCCCAGCCGCTGCTTCGCTTAAAGCGATATGCTGCGCCAGGGAGAAGAGTGGCGGCATCAGCGGATCCCCTTGCTCGCCTCCGTCGCCTTGCGTTATCTCATGCTCGGTGCCGGTCTCGTCGAGCTAGGAATAGACGCAGGCGCTGCCATAAAACTCGCGGGCAAAAGGCAGGAGCCAGGCAAGGGCCGGGTGGGACCGGAGACTTTCTAGCATGGCCTGGCGCGACACATGCATAGTCGTAGGCACCCACAGTGTCGACGGACAGTACTGTAGTGCCGGCGACATGCAGTTTCCAGTGTTGTTTGTCGCCCGGCCTTGCGACCTATTCTGCTGGCACGACGAGTCTGGCATATTATAAGCAGTGTGCGTCGGAAGGTGTTCAGCACTGAAGCTACACCACGCACGCTCTGTGGGCAAACATCGGCAGCACACTGGGTCACTGGGTCCCCCCACGGAGACCGTACGTGGCCTCTGCTTGATTTGCTGCCGCCTGGGGGCCTGGTGCAGCTGAGGCACCTCGTACGTATAAAGACGCCCTCGTGATGTTCATAAGTTCATAATCACAGTTGCAGTTGCGGCCCTCGGCAAGAATTGCACAACACACTAGGAAGCTCCGTCTCTAGCAGCAACACGCGCACATGTATCCGAACAGGGTCTGGTGTGCGCATGGCACGGTGAATCGGCGACAGTGCTTGGCAGCGGAGACGGCAGGCAGGGGCAAGCCCAGCGCCGGTGGGGAATTACACCGGGGCAATAAATTAGTTTGGCTCAAGCGCGACGCTCAAGCGCCAGCGTCTACTCCTGGCTTGAGCTTGAACGCTTGAGCCACTTGAGCCAGTAGCTTCCCCCCCCCGCCATGGTATGGCCCGTGCTTACAACCATCGGACAGTGGTGCTGGCATGGCTATTCGGTGGCTGGCTCATCATTACAATTTGCAGCTTCCCTGCCGCCCACGTGCCGCCAAAGCCTGGCGCATGCGGCATTGACG